GAAAAAAAAAATTTTTTTTTTCCTGTTTTGAACAGCGTGTTTGTGTTAGCGAAAGAAGAGTGGTGTGATTTCAAATAATTACAATGTACAGATTACAAAGGAGAGTTCAGGAATTATTTTAAACTAATTCAACCCTGGTCTAAAAAAGAAGCATATTAGATTTTTTTTTTTTTTTTTTTTTTGTTAGCTTAAGGGTTTGGTGAAATTAAAAAGTTTTGAATTAATTGAGGGCCCAGCTTCTCGCTTTTTAATGGGGTTTCATCTCCTGAAAGAGAAATCTGACAGAACTGAGCACTGGTGAATACGGCTGGGTCAGAAATGAGGCTAATAGAAGAATGTGTTCTACTTCTGAATTGTACAACTTTGCTGCTGTAGAAACTCTCTCAGGCATCAGTTTCTCCCCAGCAAAAAAATAAAAAAGAGACAGAAGGTAGTAAGACAGTATCTTACTTCTGTCAGTATGCGATGGAAATGTCCAAATCCCACATTTATTTAAATGAGAGTTATTTCGTTTGTAAATGTACCGTTCGGCGTGCACCTTTTGTGAACATAGATTTTTCCTCCCCCTCCCCCAGCCCCAAGCAACCAGTGTGAGTCTCTTCAAGTGCTTCACCCTCTGAGGCACATTGCAAAGTTTGCTGGTCCCCACAAACACACGTTTTGAGGTCTGGTTCTGATTAATTGTGTCATGTTGTTGTCGAATAGTTTGTGCTTCATGACTGTAGATGCAGACTTTTGAGCAAGCGAATGGAAAACATGTCTTGGAGGGCCGGTCGGCACAGAGGCCCAGTCAGGCGTCCTGGTCTGCAGACGCCTGTGCCTCCTGTTGCATGGCGGAGCCTCCATTTTCACACTCGTGTCCTGCTTTTGCAGAGCTAATTGTTCATCCCCCTCCTTTAGGGGACAGAGCTGGTTTCCAGTTTAAAGAGACTGTTCAAGATAATGCAGAAAGAGAGAGAGAGAAAGAGAGAGAGAGAGAGTAGTTACACCCCAATTTAGTGGTCTTCGAGAATAAAATTCCTTTGATCTGCTCATTCCCTGAGAAATGTTGGTTTTTCCCATCTCTTCTCTTCTTCCCCTCCCTCCTCTTTTCTTTTCTTCTTTTTGTGTGTAAAAACCCTTTATTGACATTTAAAGGGCTTCCCAGGGTTTTGCTATCAGTTTTAGTTTGTATGTGCATATGAAAGATGACTTTGTATTGTCACCAGCAGGGTCTAATTGGACAAACCCCAGTGAATACATTGAGGCGAATAAACTTGATGTTGTGGTAAAATTTTACTGGCCTGAAGATTCATTTTAGCGCTGGTATTGTTCAGACTCACCACTTACCCCATCTCTCTGTCACTTAGGATGTGAGACATAATCTGCATTTGTTATAACAACCGTCATGCACTTGAAATAATCTCTGTAGTTTAGGATTTTTGTCTTTTGACCACTAACTATGCACACAAATTGGATTGACCCTTTTTTTTTTCCCTTTGGCCAAATCGAGCAATCAACATATTAACTAATGTAATTAGCAAGGGTTTTGGTTCAAAAAGTTTAATTAGGCCTAATAAGTACATAATCTACATGACAAATGATGGAGTAACAATATTTTTCTGGTTTTTACTGAAGTTATTTTAATTCTCAGTAGTTAAAGTATCTTTAAATCTTGCCAATTATTCAGGCATCTCATAAAAGCAGAGCCAGTTCAACTACGTTAAAGTTATTTATAGTTTCCTTTTTAAATAGATGTTCTGATACCTTGTAGATATAGCTGGGAACATCAGATTGAAGTTCCCATAAAGTCTTAATTGAAGTCTTAGTGATTTTTCCGTCATTCTGTGAAAGAGAAAGCCAGCAAGACAATTTAGGAGTGATTTACAATTAAAGGTCGAGGTTTTTATGAAAAGGCCCTGTAGTGGAGATATGTGAATGAATTAGTATTTGACAGGTGTTCTGAGATACTAAAGGGCACTGTGCTAGGAAAAAGCATTAATAAATCCTTCAGACACTAACTTGGTACTATCAGCGACTTAGAGTTTTTCCCCAACATAATCCCATCTTGTGAATTTCACACTGTTGACATGCAAAGTCAAGCTACCCAGAGTACTTACAACTAAGGCAAAGTAAAGAAATATATATTTCTTAATTGCGAAAATCAATCTTGATAACAGTTAGGCATTATGACTGTGCCATTCTATCTTTCCCTTTTTAAATAATGAGACATGATTTATAACAGTCTAAAATGGCATCCTTCCCTAGATTAACTCCTGCTCCTCAAAAAAAAACCCTACATTTTAAAATATGGTGATGCTGTTATTTGACTGAATAGTCATATACAGGGCCGAGGTTCTTACAGATTACTAAGAAATGCACATATTCTATATGCTTTCTTTAGTCTAGCTTTCTTTTTGGTAGTTTTGGTATTGTTTCAAAATCGGGTTCTCTGTGGAATAAATGTGAACTTTTTGTAAAGCCCAATTTTATTTTAAATGCCATTTTGTATTTCTTCCGTGTGGGAAAAAAACAGAAACCCTCAAACCAATATGAAAGACAAGACTATGTATAACGTTACAGCCTTGACAGCTCTCAGTGGAATAACTAAATACTTTCTTCCGCCCATATGTATCAGTGTTCACATGCTTTTTTATACACATGTGCATTTACAGTCATTGTGTAAAGAAGCACCCATGCATGGGGGGGGGTGTACATTCAAGGGAAAATGCACGAACAGTTTTAAACCACCTGGGTTGCTAGGCCCTTTTTTTTCCTGCTTCCTTTTTTTCAAAAGAGCATCTGAAGACCATATTGTGTTTCATAAATTATTGACATCAGTTTTAATCAGCGTCCCCCTGACGTTGGAGCTGTGTTAGTATTTAGTGCCTGACGAAGCATGCTGTTTAATCTTACTGTGGGGATGTCAGCATGGGCCCCTGCCTGGTTTGTGACAGGTCGAGCTTATGAAAACTCGTTTTGCGACTCACTCTATGGCTTTGCACTGCCCAGCTGTAACCCAAAACTCTCACAAAAGACATCTCTGCAAGATGAGCACCTTGCTGGGCTGGCCTCCTATGGTCATGGGTACCTGCAACATAATGCTCATAATTGTTTAAACATGATTTCCAGGAGGGGGCGGGGGGCTCCTCATTGCTGTAAATGGCTCTGGTGTTTGGGCCCACCCTCATCCCCAGCAAGAGAGGGAGGTTATATTGGAGGCATTGTCATGAGAAATCCAATGCTGTGCTAAAGACCCTTGCAAAATCAGAAGGCTAAAATTATTTGTTGCCTAGTCCGGAGCCTGGCACATAGCTGTAGATGAGTGAATGTTTTTAATAGTCATAGTAATTATTATAATTATTGTCATTATCATGATTAACCAACCCTTAAGGGCTTATTCTTTGCCAAGCACTCATGTTAATTTAGTCATTTAATCATTGTGACTTCGCTAATAATAGGCACTATTATTGTCCTTATTTCAGAGATGAGGAAACCATGGCCTAGAGACATTAAATGGTTTACCCAAAGCCACATAGCTAGTAGGTAATGGAGCTGGGACACCAGCCTCATGTTTGTGCTTTGTTTTATTGCATCCACTTGCTGCCTCTCCACAGAATGGAACAGTGGATGGATGGATGTGTGGCACTTAGACATCCACGTATAGGAGAAAAGCTAGAACAACTTGTTACTTCTTGCTGGAATTGGTGGTGGTTCCCTAGTTGTGTTGCATTATCATTATGTTACATTACATTTATACCGTATTCATACTTACTTACGTATGAAGTTGTATACAAGAAGTGTTCTTTTATCTTAGCCATCAGGCCTAGTGGGAATGTGAGTGAAGGGGCTTTAAATACTTTCCTGTGGGTTTTCAGCATCCATATGTGTTGCCGATGGCCAAGTCTTTCTTGATTTCAGGGCCTGTGATCTCCCTCACAGGTGGCGAAGTCGAGCTGGTAATCAGAAAGTCCTCTCAAGGAAGGCCTTCTCTTTTCCCCCCTAGTGCTCACCATTCCATTGCTGGAACATATCGAAAAAATCCAGGAAGTGGGTAAGTGTTGCTGCTAAAGAGAGGAGTCTGCTGGGGAACAGCATGTTCGGGTCGCTGGCATGGTGCTACTAGGTGCAGTGTACGTCAGTCTGCAGCACCAGGCAGTCATTGATCTCTGT